CCCCTTTCTCCTCTTCTCTCTCCATTCTTCCCCTCCCCCTTTCCCCGCCTCCTCTTTATTCTCCTCCATTTTTTCTTTCCTTTCCTCCTCCTTTCTTCCCTTCCTCCATCAAAATATTCTTTTAAATATCCCACGCATTGAGAACAGCCGCTATTTGTTATTACATGAAAATAAATAATTATTTTCAATATAATATAAATTTAAAACATAATTTTAAATGTCCAATTAATAATAAAAGAAATAAACTCATTACACTGGCATGCACATTAAACATTTTAATATAAATTACGTAATAAAAATAAAATGATATATTTGTATTCTCTTCTCCAACAATTTTTCGCTCCCTCGTATTAAAAAAATTTCTCTTGATGAAAAAAGAAAATCAATACTTGACTCATAAAAAACTAGCCTGAGATAAAGAGCACCCTTTTAATAACGTTGAAGTTTGCAGGGCTACATCGTTAAAAATACGTTTCTTTCGAGAAAGAAACGTAGACATCGTGCTTTCGATGTCAAATGCAAGACTGGGACTCACCTTGGTCCGTGGCCCGTGTCCTTTGGGCCTCAGAGACCTCGGGACGCTCGTCTGCCGGGTTCAGCGACAAGAATAAACGTACTAAATGATAACAATAAGGTCATTCAGCTAACTGACCTTACCTATATATGTACAATTTTGATTTTGCATCACTGACGCGTTGCAGGATTTTTTTAGCAAGCGACAGGTCGATAATTTAGCAACAATCGAAATTTCATAAGTACACAAAATATAATACTTATCACGCGCCAATATAACCCTTTGTCTTTATACATTACTGATGCGTGTTTGTTTGATTTCTATTTTTTAATCTCAGTTTTTTTCTCGTCAATTTCTTTCTCGTTTTTTTTAATTTTTTTTTATTTTATTTCTTCTTCCAGATTTTTCTAAGCATTCTAAAGCATTCTAAAGCTTTCTAAAGCATTTTATTGTTTCGTAATTAAAGAGCATTCGTAATCAGAAATTATCAGATAAAAGCTACCGTGGACCCATATGTACGATTGCATTACGTATTTTTTTTGGTAAAAATATATAAATGTCTAATAATTCAAATAAAGAAAGATATCAAAATTGGAAAAAAGTCAGGGATAGAATCATTGCGAGATATCAAAAATTGTGATAAAATTTGTTTTCGGAATTCTATCATTCTCAAAGCTGTATAAATTATCAATTTTTTATCAATTAATTCAATTTCGAAAATTTTACTTGATTCATTAAAGGGATACAAACGGCTATCGTATCGCGAAATATAGATACGCAACAATTTATTCGCGTTATTAGACAGTCATAAATAGCAAATAATCATTGCCGTCTTGACGCATGGGCGAGAATTTAGCTCGTACATACATGAAGTCAATTACTTCAATTCCTCAGCAGCCGGTCGCACGCGTGCATTCATGTAGGCAACTTCCGGCAGGATTCATGCATGTTAAACGAGTCGATGCGACACGAGACACGACAGCATCACGGAACATATGGTCCTTGACATCCTGTTACGATACGATGATATCGTTGTTAATTTGAACCACGATTTAGACACCGAAATTACAATTCTTCCTCCACCTGATTATACTTGACAGAGAACTATCCTTCCTCTCGTCTTTGTTTGTTTCAAGTTTCTCGAGCTTCGAGAATGACATAAAACTTTTGTCTAGAATATTTTTCCACACATTTTGCACGTTATAATATTCATAACAATTTCTTGCGATATCATATTTGCTTAAAATCAAAACAGAGTGAAATAATAGATCGATCCTAAAATGCAATTATCTTTGAGATTGAATATTTCTCCACAGAGCGCTTTAATATGATCGGGGAGGGCCGGGAGAGAGGACAATTATTACAATCCAGAAACTAAATGCTTTGTCGTGAAAGATAAAATCAGCTTCCTAGATAAGAAGAATGGTAGCCAATCCCGCAAAAGTATTATTTTTATAGACAGTATTGAATTGTCAAAACTTATTTCAAGTCAAGTGCTGGAAGTACATTATAAGCCAGAATAAATATATTTCATTCTTTTCGATAATCTATTCAAATTTAGAAGTTTTAATTTTCGTAATATAAGTTTGTGAAAGCCGAAGAAAGCCGAAGAAAGCCGTTTCAAGCATATTACAAGAGTTCGGTTTCTAATAAAAAAGAAAAGTTTATACAAGTGGTACAGCGATAAACGATGTGAGGCAGCACGAATGTAACAACTAACAAGGGACACGACCCAAGTGTCCAGCGCCGATTGTTTTCTCCTTGAAATACATTGTTAAATACATATTAAAGTCTAAAAGTTACGTGGATCGTTAGTCTCAGACTCGAGAATTTAAAAAATAAGATAATTCGTTCTGCCTAATTATTTATTACATTTATTATTTTAGAGAAAGCTTGCTTAAGTTTAATCGTAAGTTTAATCATAAGCTTAAGTTTAATCGATAAAATTTTAACTCTTGTCTTTATTTCTTTCTTTTTCGAAGACATTTCTCATTTCCTTTTTTTTTCCAAAATTATATAAACTCCATTAGAAATGCGCAGTCCTTTCATCCAAGAGGACAAGGAAAAACTTTCGAATCTTTTCAAATCATACTTTAATTGTAAATAATCGAGTTAATAAAAGTTTTAATAATCTATGTTTTAATAACCTTTCAAAACTATTATTATTGTAATTGCTGTATATAATTTGAAATAATACATAATTAAATGTTAACTCTATTCCAACATAAAAGAAGATATGTATGCAACTTACGAGTGAAGTCATTGGCGAGACAAGCACCCCATTCCTGTTTGGATAGTTTTAAATCTCGATTTAGGTCACACGTGCGAGCAAACGTGCGCGCGCACTTCTTCGGTCTCACTGCCTTCTTGGCGAGTCTTCTGAGCTCTTTGTATTCTTCCTTATCCAAGTAGCCGTCCGCGTTCTGATCCAGCATAAGGAATTTCCACGACAATACCCGTTCGACATTTTTAACATCTAACAATAGGAAAACAGTATGTACATATCTGATATGGTATCTTTAGTATTTTGAGATATGTGTTGTGGCCGAGCGGTGGTCCGCTCATTTTTGGTCCCCGTAATGTATGAGTAATGTCCGAGTAATGTTGAGAAAATCGTTCCAATGCGCCGTTGTTTATGATTACTGATTTATTGATTGAGGAGATTCGAGACTGAGATTCGTAAGAGACGGTTTTAAGAGGTGACGCGCGAGCGGATTGTATCACGAACAGTGTAATTAATTGAGCTTATTAAAGTTCATTCTTTATAAATGACCTCTATTTATTTACGCGTGTCGTGTGAGTGAGTGTTGTGCGAGAACAATTTGTCGCGCAGCTTACCTTCAGCGGATATATTAGTCCGTCTGTATTCGATTTTGAAATTTTCGATGAGGTTTGCGTTAAACTTGGACTTTTCAGTGCGATCACAGGTATTCCGCTGCCTATTACTACCGACATACGGTCTATGTTTCCAAGGCTGAGGTGAGCGTCGCCTTTGGCCGCTCCTAATAGAAGCAGCAGATCTGGAACCGGATCTCAAACATCTCGGTTTTTTGTATCTTACCGTTGTATCGGGCAACGGCCGGCCTTGCGGCGTTACGCACCAACAATACCCGGTCTCCGCGTGGCACTGAACCGGCATATACGTTCCATCGTTTTGGCAAGCGGGTCGTACACCCGGTCGAGCAATCAGTCTTGCTGATAAGCATGCCGGTGTCTCTGGATAAAAGCCAAATAATATTATCGTCACATTTTCCTTTGGCTTAACAAGTTATGTGAAATTTCTATATAGAATTCTATATTCTATATATTATATA